GGTGCCCACTCCAGGGGGCCCTCACCTCCTGAATAGAAATCGGGATGGCTCAACCCCACCCAGTAAGTCTTTACAAAAAAAGGGTGCAGGTCCCAGCAGGGTGAAAACCACAGAAAGCCATCGAAGAGGAGCTGTTCCCTAGATGCCTCGTGCCTGAGGAGGGTGTGAGGGCGCCCTGAGTCCTCAGCAAGAAAGCGAAGGGTGCCCCAGCCCAAGGCATTTCCCCTCCATTAAATCTGGTGACAGCAGCAGCTGCAAACAAGCCCAGGAAGGATGCGCTGCGCCCATCCCCCTCAGGTGGGACTGTCCTGCCCGACCCACCCATCTACCCAGTGTTTCCTTCCTTCCACTCAGGGCTCTCACACCCAACCCCTGGCCCCAGGTCTTAGCCCCCGGCAGTGCTCAGTGGGGAGAGCAGCGGCCGTTCCGAGAGCCTCGGATTTTCCGGCTCTCTCCCAGATGTCTGCTTCCCAGCCCAGGACTCCATCCAGGGTGTGCACTCAGCACGTGGGCTTCTCTGGGTGGGGCCTGGGCCCTCTGCCCAGAGGCTGCAGGGAGCAGCACTGCAGTATGGTGTGGTCGGGTCGAGGCGCTGCCCCTCTCTGAGCCAACTTTGGGGTCCCCAGGCCTGAACCCCATGGCCAGTCCTCCCGGCCAAGCACAGTGCTCTGGACACTGTGTGCCCTGAGCTGCCACTCACTTTGCGCCAAATAGCATCAATAATTTAAGCTCTTTCCTTCATAACCCAGGAAAATTGGTCTCCTGACAAGATATGAAAAATAATTTTACGCTCTCTTTCCTTCCCTCCCAAGATCACCCCTGACAAATCATCTCCTCGTGGCCTGTCAGGCCCACGTCACCCCACATCTGGGGTCCCACTTGCTCAGGCTGCTGGTCCCACTCTTAGCTCTGGTTGGGGCTGCCTCTTCACAGAGACACCATCACATTCTGACTTCCTTCCTCCTTCCCTCCCTCCTTCGCTTCCTTCTTTCTTTTTTTACCCTCTTTTACTGCTTTCCTTCCTTCAGCAAATTTTCCCTGCCTTCCCCGAGGGATCTAATGATTCCCTGTGATAGGCAAGAAGCGACAGTTGTTCATACTAAGGTGTGAGGAGCTGCTTTCATAACTCTTTTAAAGGAGAGTGTGAATCCAGAAACTTAACCCTATTGGTATCCTTTATCTCTTTAACACAACCCCCAAGTCTTGCATCACCCCTGCTGGACTTAATAGACTGGTCAGCCTTCGAAAACTGTTGAGCTCTCTGAAGCCCTAAATTTCTGAGGAGTTTTAAGGGAATGATGTTGCTGTGAGGTTCAGATCATATCATATGTGGAAGGGACCAGGCAGCGAGGGCTGTCACAAGCCACATGCCCATCCCTATTGTGAGGAAGGCACACTTAGGGGAGTGGCTTGGGACGGAGGAGGAGTCCATACTACTGGTGCTGAGGATAAGGCTCACACCCATGCTGACCCTGGGAGTGAGCAGGTCCTCTGGCCCTCGGCTAGCAGAAGAGGACGCTGAGGCAACAGCTGTGAGCCCAGGATGCAAGCCCCAGCTGTCATGGTGCCAGCCTAGCACTGGTGGGTCAGACAGCTGCTGCTCTGGGCCTCCTGGGTTTCAGGGCCTCTGAGTGAGGGCGCATGGACCTGATAGGTGGTGGCCAGCCCAGCCCCCACCCAAGGCCTCCACCCAACCTCAGTCCCAGAGGTTCACTCCAAGGCCCTCTCTTCAAACTGCCCTCAACCTGGTATCTTCCTAATGTCCATTGCTAGCACTGACCCTTTTGTGACTACTTCCTGGACAGTACTCCTTGTCCCACAGCTGCACTCACCACTCCTACAGCCTGCTTCTTAAAGCCCTTTAGGAAAACAATTCATACTAGGCTGCGAATGCCTGTCACTAGTAACCCAGCAGCTCCCACCTCATGCCCTACAGTCACTCATCAAGCTTGATGCCCTCACACACTAAAAAGCAATGATGATTGTGTAGGTAAGTTAGAGAGATTCTGAATAGTCTCCTGTCCAGAGAGTCACAATAATGCTCAGCTGCAGGCTCTGGGAAATCCTGCAGGAGGCACAAAAGCTATTGTCATTTTTTTCCCCTGTAAGAAACATGTAACAACATTCAAGAAATAAACTTTGAAAAACCCTGACTAAGGAACCAAGGACCTGTAGGGTAACACACCCCCCAACAGCTACAACAGGAGTCCACATTGGAATGCTTTTGTCAGTTTTGCTGTTAGAGCCTCAGAACCTGGAATTATGCTTCCTACATAAAAGACATTGGGTGGGTGGATGGGTGGGTGGGTGGGTGGATGGATGGATGGGTGGGTGGATGAGGGGACGGATGGTTGGGTAGGTGGATGGATGGATGGATGGTTGAGTGGGTAGGTGGGTGGGTGGATGGATGGATTGATGGGTGGGTGGGTAGATGGGTAGATGGATGGGTAGGTGGGTGGATGGATGGATGGATGGATGAGTGGGTGGGTGGATGGATGGATGGGTGGGTGAATGAATGGATGGATGGATGGGTGAGTGGTGGTGGGTGAGAGCATGAATGGGTGGGTGGTAGGTAAGAGTATGGATGGGTGGGTGGATGGATGGATGGATGGATGGATGGATGGATGGATGGATGGATGGATAGATGGATGAGTGGGTAGATAGGTGGGTGGATGGATGGATGGATGGATGGATGGATGGATGGATGGATGG